GTAAGTAGTTACTCGTGTATTGACGGTCGGATTTGTCGGACTGGTTGTAGCCACGGTTGAGGCTGTGGTATTCGGAGTACTGGTAACCGGTGGGTTGATAATGTTGCCTGTGCCTCCTGGCATCGTGAAGCGGTAACGGTTTTCTTCCTTGTTTTTTTTTAATTTTTTTTTTAACGGTAGCGGAATACAGATGAGAAGCTCAAACGACAACGGCTTTCAGCGGTTCGTTATCAGCGGTGCGTTAGCAGGTTTACGGTTACACTCGGCTGTACGGTACGGTACGGAGAAGGATTCTTGCTGACGATTCGGATCTAAGAGTCGGATGTCGGTATATTCTAGGCAGCGGCGCGAATAGGTGTCGGAGTATTCAGGTGGATGATCGGAACTAGAAATCCTTTGGTCCGGTAAAGCGGTATAAAGGATCGGGTATACGGATCGGTTATACGGTTGGGTTATACGGTTCGGTTATACGGTTCGGTAAAGCGGTATATTTCTCTCGGAACGGTGTACTAGATGTTGCTCCCTCAAGAGCTCGGTCGGATCTCTTTCGGAACGGTGTACGGTGAACGGATGTTGCTCCCTTGAGCGTTCGGTCGGATCTCCTTCGGAAACGGTGGAGGAGATGTTGCTGCTTTGAGCGTTCGGTCGGATCTCCTTCGGAAACGGTGGAGGAGATGTTGCTGCTTTGAGCGTTCGGTCGGATCTCCCTTTTAGCGGCGTGTTGTAGAGATCTTATACTCTCTAAAGATGGTGGGGAGTCGCGCCGCGCACACTCTCTTCCTCCCCCCTCAGACGGTATGTAGGTTAAAACGGTGAAAAAAACGGACTCTCTTATATTTCTGGACAGGTGGAACTGGTCGGTGAAAAAAGTAGCAGAAAAAATGTTGACTATCTTCTAAATTGAAACGGTTTCGGAATATTGCAGTTGAAAAATGAAATCAGCGACCTCGGATTAGTCGAAAACGAGATACAACTCGAAATTTTGGAATGCGCATGCGCTTACCAATACTTCCCAAAAACGGAGGCCTCCGGACCAATTCGGTACGGTTTACAGGAACTCTTTTCCACGGTCGGCCGGTATTGGTTGAGACGCTCAACTCATGGGGCGGATGATAAGACAGGCGCCGAACGGTCCAAGGTCCAATAGGAGCGGTTCATTCATTCCGGCGCTATGCGGTCTGGCATTAACATAAAAAAACGGTACGGTACGGTAACGGTCAGACCTACGGGCGTCGCCAAAACAAACGGCCTCTCGGTGAAAACGGGGGACGGATGATGACGTAGTCTCCTCGGTCATATGCTGATGTCATTGACTTGCGCAAAACGGTCCCTGCTCGGGCGCCAAATTTGTAACGGGTTTTCTTTGGTACTTGTCAGCTGTGGCAAGCTTATCGGTCAGGTAATACTTTTCGGTCAATTTTCCATCGGTTTTCTCGGGCGCCACCCTCGGGATTAACGTGGTCGAGGGTCCACGGGCACCAGGTAGCTTGTTACAGTGGAGAAAGAAAAACCAGGGGTCAATGCGCAGTCAGTTCAGAAATAAAACTCATGATGATGGTTCACAATAATAATATCCATAATTTATTCTCTTTAAATCGGTACGGTACGGAATAAACAAGAGAAACCAATTAATAACAGCTCTGGCTAAATAATAATTATCGGACAGGTAGAGAGAGAAGGGGAGTAGAGTGTGTAACGAGTGAGCGCGAAGAAAAGCGTGGATTACGGTGTCTTTGCGAAATAGAGAAGTTTGGGCGGTAACGGTAACAGTAACGGTAACGGTTTAATTAGAAAGAGAGAAAGAGAAAAGGCTCCGGACAAACCATGTTTAATTATACGCTCGCCCCCTTCAAGTCGTTTGTCCATGCTAATACAGCGCATGCGCGAGTTATGAATTCGGCTAGGATGCAAGTACCTTTTTGTCGGACACGGAGAGAGAAAAGCGCCAGGATACATCGCCGTAACCGGGATCCAGCACGATGGATTCTGCCGCTTGGCACAGAAGGTATGGCTCCACCCTGTAAACGGGACGCTGTGGTGGCGCCATACAGTCCGTGTTTATTAAACGGAGAAAAAGAAGGCAATGGGAAACATCGCCGGAACCGAAACACAGCACGATGGTTCCCATAATCTGGCACGGGCAGAATAGCTACACCCTGTAAACGGGACGCTGTGGTGTTGCCATTCAGCCCATGTGATGACGAGGTCGAATAAGGTTAGCGAGAAGCATCGCGGGAACCGCAGCACAGCACGATGATTCTCACAACCCGGCACGGAAAGAATAGTTCCACCCTGTAAACGAGGTCCGGAGATGGAACCATTCAGCCCGTGTTCTGGTTAGCGGGGTACGGGGGCAAACGGTAATACCTGCATCCTTAAAGAGCGGCGTCGGGACGGCTGAAGACGGCGGCGGCGGTCGGTCGGTCGGTAGGTCTCACCTGAATGACTCCAGGTGAGCGGGATCGGTTTTCGGGCTCGACTGGTTGGTTTCGGGTCGGTATCGGTAATGATTCTCACTGTCCGCTCGTCTCAAGAGCTAAGCTGCTTCGATGCTGCCTGGCCGACGGCAGGCAAGAGTGGGGTTGCGCGTGGTATCTGGTGCTGTAGATGGACTGGGTTCGCGCGAGATTCATTCGACACGTTGTCGAGTCGCACGGTTAAGGTATAAAGGAAAATTATTTCCACAGGGAAAACCAATGTTTTCGCGACAGAATAAATCCACTGATAATAGCGTTATAATTTAACCATTTAAGCTCGAAAAACAACGACAAATTTCTGATGCAAAATACGGAAGTTCCGGAAAAAGGTAAAAATAAAGTAACGGTCGTTACAGAATATTTTGAGGAAAATATTCGAATATATCGGTATTCCGGTAAATTCCGATTGCCCCCCTATATCCTTGTGACGTGAATCCAATAGAGCTTATATGCGCACTTGTAACAACAAAATTTTTAAGACTGAAAATTTACAACTCTTGGTGGATTTATTGACGAATAAATCATGAAGGACGAAATGTTGGATCACAACGATGTAATCGGCAAAGCTATGGAAATCCAGCCTTTGATTGTTACCCAACAACATAACAACTTCAGATTTTTCTGATGATGATTCATCTCAACTTTCAGTTAAGGTACGGTTGTTAGGACAAGGCGCGACGCACAACTCACAATGTAAACGTCGACAGACGCTATCGACGTCGTCAACGACGTCAACTGACACTCTACGTCGTGGTTACCTGCGCCAACCTGCGCAAAGTGAACAAACCGGTGTATATAATTTACACTTGGTTGATTTTAGCAGACGTGCGCGGCGTTCGACAAAATGTGAGCTGTGCGTCGCTCACTACGCTAACAAACCATACCTTTAGTAGGATCATTAGACCTAAATATTGGGCGCGTGCACCCGATACAATCGTTGGTAAAACGCTTCACGATTGTTCGGCTGAATGCTTCGTTGAATTTGTGTTGAAACCGAACATGTTTTGCAAACGGTCGCTATTTCTGAAAGCATTAATTGAGAGTGTTTCTAATTTTCAACACTTGTGTTTTATGTAGTGTCATGACATTCAGAGGGTGACGTTCTATGATTTTGAAAAGTCGAATCATTCAGCAGAACCAAGAGTTTACCCAACGTATTCTGTTGGTATTTGTAAACTGTTTATAACCCGTTTTGGTTCTGGTGAACGCATCCATTGTTCTATTTGCATGCAATAATTTCTTTATTTTTTTGTTGATTTCTGTACGTAAGTATAGGAATATGAGATTGGATGTGTGTGTGACATTTTATTAAATTTAAAACAGCTAATCTATCATTGCAAAACGTAGGTATTATGCGCGTGGTACATTTCTTTTATATGCGCTGCGGGAGTTAAATTTGAATTTGCGCGCGAAGTGGTCGGCGTATTAAGCGGAAGTACAGTGACTTTAGCGGAAGCCTCAGGCAGCACGCCGCAGCGAGGGCAGTGGCAGTACAAACAGAACCTTTGCCAGGTGAGTTTAATTTTTCGGGTCGTGACGGAAGTCATTTAGCCAACGCGATTTCCGCACTCGCATTTAAAATACAGTCTACTTCACAGACATCGAATAACTAATCAGCAATCAATTCATGTTCCATCGGCCAGGTCAGTGTAATAAGCAATATTTTTTACATTTTTGTATTGTCCAACCATTCAGTGACAAAATGGCGGTCGACTACATATGATACCTCATAACGTATCAAGACAAATTGAAAGTAAAAACCGACTGTACGATATGGTCCCTCGATTCAAAGCTAATTATTTATTTCCATTTTATAACACTATTGTCCACTGACTCGTTACATGGCTGGGCTACAAAATATGGCCAATATATTTATAAAGAGGGTTACAAAGGTGAAATTCGTTGACCGAGCACTATTTTGAATTTATAAAGAAGGCATCCAGCTATCAAGGCCTATGGGGTAGACAGGCGTCACCATGAACAAGAGGCTCACGTGTAAGCACGACGTCAAAAAAACAAGATTTTGCACCTTGTTTTTTCAATGCAGGGCAATGGAGAAACTATTCTCTTTCACGCAGGTCGAGTCTCATGAGACTGTAGGTCAAGCTGGCCATTGTTAAAGCCTGTCTATTTTTTCTTTTGTGTTAAAAATGGCTGCTAAGAACATGCGATGAATTTCAAAATATAAATTAATACAACACCCTGTTCTCAAAAAAAAGTCGAAAATAAAATCAATAATCGTTCCCTTGCAACTTGCAGTACGAAAAATGCTCGCGGGAAATAACAAGCTCGTGCATTTTTTACTGTTTGCTTTTGATATGAATTACCTTGAAAATTGGAAAAACCACCTTGTATATCACTTGAACGATCAAGTTTTTCATAATGTCGGGGATAATTTCTTAGTCTTAGCAAGCATTTAGAAGATGGTAGTCGTAAAAACTAGTCTAAGGAATATTATTATGTGTGTCAAATGTTATTAAAAAAAGAAAAAAATAAAAAAAATAAAACTCAATAATAATTTACCCGATTCAATAGATGTCCTATCAACCCGTTCCATTCTTTCCTGTCTGGATCGTAGTTACCATATTTACCATCCGGAACTAATTCAAAAGTATAACTGCAATTTAAAATATTACAAATCTCCGCCATCAAGTCCATTGCATAACCTTCGAATCTATCATTGCCATAATATACTTTACCATATTCTGGCACTCTTGTCATCAGATAAGGAGGGCCAATTCTGAAAAAGAAAGTATTTAATTAATCTGTGGAATGTGGCTTTGGTCGTTAAATAATTGCTGCACAAACATTTTAAATTAATTATCAGTTACCGGCAATTTGTTTATTTTGCCATAAACACGGGGGCATAGCCATTGTAAACTTTACCAGCTGGGAGTTTGCCAGAACAAAGCAAAGACAAAAGCTTCAATTAACTCCGGACTGAAACTAACAATGATTAGGTAAACAAAAAAACTGATGATGTTGGACAATTTCAAAGCAATTGTCACTTTTGACCCTATGTTCTAGCTAGGTGCTTTGGGATGTTTAGAGTGTTTATACCAATTCTATTCCTTATTATACCTTCATAATAAATCTAATTTGATCAGCAAATACATACGAGTAGGTATGGAGAAATAATTGTAACGTTGTTGGATATAAATTAATTTTGCACGGTGAGTCAGGTATATGCACGATGTTGCTGAAAACAACAAATCAGCTGATCATAATGTATTAACATGTAAATTCTAAAGGAAATAAATAAAAAGTCAGTCGTATTTTATCGCGATGTCGAAAAATGACGAAAAAGAACGTGGTTAGTATGTTGAGCCCTGTGACAGCTATATTATCAACCTATAGCATATTTTATTTGCGGAAAATTCACATACAAAATACAAAAATGAAAAATGAAGCACATGTATCTCTCCATATATTTCGATGTCTGGTACTTAGTTATTGTGAATGTTTCTGATATTTTCGACATGTGACAGGGAACTGGTGTTTACATGTGATAGTCAATGCATGACCTTATCTGATTCATTGATTTCATGGCAACTATTGAAAGATAATTAAAATACCAGAATATTGAGTTCTGTGGCCTCTCAACCGGTCATAAATGATGAAATTTCTTGTCAATCGCAAAAAAAAGTATGTCCAATGAAACATTATTACGGAATATTTTCTTTAATTACCATTTATTCATGTTCAAAAAAATTCAATGTATACTTTTCTAAAACAAATAACAATTACCAAAGTTTGAAGTGATGTATTGGAGTATGAACAAATATTAACTAAACTATTATAAAGATATCACCCTTCTTTTGGTAGGTAAATAATATAGGCAATTAAAATCAAATTTCCTGTTCAATTTCCTGTTAATTAGTTATGTATATTAACCATATAACTGTTGCAAAGTTTCTGATTTAGACAGTTACTGCTTTTCGAATCAAGAGTTATGTTCAAATACTTATGTATTTTTGTAGCCCTTATAGCTTATGGTCACGGAATCAATGTAAAAAAATTATTACCAGAAAAATCTATTGAAAGTCATAGTAAGAAATTTCAAGATTGGTTCAAACCAATTTCAAATGGGATAGTTTTCAATGAACAACATGTCCTATTTTTTGTAAATTATTATTTTAATGTTAACGCCACCCTTTTATATCTGAACACCAAAAAACGACTTCCTAACGTTAAGGACATCAAAGCAACAAAGATAAGTTTTTTCATTAATTCTTTCGAAGAACAACCGCTGATCATATTAGATAGCTTAAAACAATATATAGATGAGTTTGACGTAGATCTATTTATAATTTTGCTCCCTAACCCTCCAACAGAATTTATCAAAAGTAGGATTAGAGAGAAAAATATTAATACAGTGATACTTGTTGAAGTGTCTCAGGATGGGGATTTTAAACTACATGCGTTAGAAGATGGGGGTGTAGTTGAAAAATCTAACAGAGAAAAACAAAAAATATTCAGGATGTGTTTCACTGAAGATAGTCCCTATGCTTTGAAAACGGATAACGGTGAGCGAGAGCTTATAAAATATACTTTTGAACTATTTTTGTAGGTACCTATATTTAATATTGAATACTGAACATCAATTTAACTTGTGGAGCAAGTTTGTCTCCTTATAAGGTCCCCTTTCTCGTAAAACTTCTATAAGAGATTACTCGTGCTCTAATGTTGTTTCAGGGACTCCTTATGTTGATGATTAGTTTGGTTTGGACAATTTTAGTTAATTTAAGATTATTGGTAAAATCCCATTCAGCGAAATATAATTAACGGAAGGTTGGGAATGAATTCTGGATAGAATCATTATTTAAATCAAATAGTGATATACGCGTATGTGTAGCAAAATTATATTGGATGCTTTCAAGGTCAGTAAAGTGAAATGTAATTATACTATACAAACCTGAGGATAGGATAACTAGGTGCCAAGAATCTGCAGCAGCTAACAAAAACTGAAAGCAGTCTACCAGCCGAATTAGCATTCCCCGAGGACTTAGACCACCTTCCCAGGACGCAATTAAAAAAAGCTTAGATGATATTTCTAGAAGAAGAAATTGTACTTCTATTCTTAATAATTTTCCTCCGATTGCTCTTTATTTTATACCTTCCTACCTAAGTTATAAAACGTGAAAGGTATGATGTGTTGTAATTTCTTGGGTTTGTTTGTTAGGACATTATCACTAATGTCCGAGATTCAAGATTCGACCTGATTTTTCGCTTGTTTTTGCAACCTTATTTCATTTTTAATCCTATGTGGCTGTTTCTATCTTGAACTCCTTCAGCGTTTCTACTTGTTCAGTTTGCCAAGATTGACGTTTCGTTCATTTTATCTATCATTACTTTTCCTTCGTGAAGGTGTTTTGTAGAGCCTGCTCAAACCGGCTTGCTCTGTACTTAGACACAGATTGGGATTTTTGAGTAGATTTTTTTTAAAATTCTTATGAACAACTTGTAGATCTATGAGAGCAAATTAGTCGGAAGAAAGCGTTCTTCACCAGTTCAAAGTAATATGGCTTGCGTGCTCTGCAAACCTCTCGCAGCCTTACTCCATCTTCCTTTTTCTTTTTAATATATGACTGTTCATATGTAGGTTAGCTACTTCCTTAGATGTCTCGTCATATGTCGGTCATCCTTCTTATGTGTTTATTTCAGTGACATCTCTTTTATATATGTTGTCGGCTCCTGAGTAGATTCTATAAGGCGTCTTCTGGGTCATCAATAAGTACCATATCATTAGCGTAGCAAACAGCATTCAAGTCAAAGTTTCCAAATTTGGGTAAAAATCCATGAAGATTGAAGAAAAATTAAAATCATCAAAGACTGGTCAGGTCGAAAGCACGACTAAGGAGATGGTGTGTCAAGAATGAGTGCAAACGTTGTAAGTGAGAAGCTCAGCATGGAGGAATTACTTCCATCGGAAGAATGAACTTTTCGGAAACTAACAAGGGCAATCAATTCATGGAGTCGCTACGAAATTGTTACCATTTTACATTTCTAACGAAAGCTCAGATCATTCAGTGTTAGAATTGAATGCCGGTAGGGATATTCTTCTCGGAGTAGATCTTTCTAGCTAGTAAACAAAGATGAAATTCCTTGAACAGTGCGCTTCCTGTTGAGTCCTAATGAGGACAAAACGCGTAAAGGAGCGGCTAGGGAACACCCACAGCTTGGTGGTCCAATTCCCAAACGGGGACTACTATGTCCTTAACTTTACATTGGTTATCACCTGAGTTACCAATTAGAGAATACCTACCTTTCCAAGTTCTTGTATGGAAATCTGAAAAATTTAAATGATCACAAACCTTTAAGCCTTATGGCATATCCAGCGAAACTTTCGTTTGAGAGAAAAATATGACTACTATGAGAATGGCGTTCGTTTCAACACACGATGGGTGTATGAGAGTTAGGGACGATGTTGCCGAACTAAATAAAAGTTGCTGACATCTCTGGTTGAGTCAGAGAGAAAATGCAGATAGCCAGTGACTAAATTAAGGCGCATTCCGCAGGATTTCAACAAATGAGCATACCACAAGAAGAAGGTTATATCACCAAAGTTGATGGCGGCCTTCTGGGAGACGGCGGTCGGCGGGAAGTCGGCGGACGGGTGGAAGTTGACAGTCAAGTGACAGTGGGCGGCTGGCTGGAAGACGGCGGACGAGGCAAAATTATTCATAAGCAGGTTTAAGGACTTCGATGTGAACGCGCCGAATATTTTTGCCGGTACCGCCGCGTAAGTTAAATACCACGGAAGAAACAACTTGGGTCCGGAATATTTTGGGGCGAGCTTGGCAACAAACCCTTTTATAGCAGAGGAAGGTGGATTATCATGGCATCGCCATTACCGGCGACGGAGGTTGTATTAGTGACTTTGGAGAGTAAAAGCTCGGTCTATATTCACCCTCACCAATTTGTCAGCGTCTTGCAGCCTCTTTACACGGTCGGAGTGGACTGCTTGTGCAACTTCCGTGTTAGCGGTTTCCTCCGGAACGGTTTCATCCTGGTCTCTCTCTCTCCCTCCAAAGTTTAAGAAAGCCGGTGGAAATCCAGTGGAGTCTTCTTCTTCTTCTTATCACGCCCTTTCCTGCCGAAGGTTGGCGATTCAAATGGAAATTGTATCTCTGGAAACTGCAGTTCGAAAGATTTCTGCAGACGAGCCATCGAACCATTAAATCTTTTAGCCATGAGCTCTGGCGTCTTCCTACTGATCTTTTCCCATGTATTTTGTCCTCCAAAATGAGGCGCCGTATTTCGTATCTGTCACCTCTCATCACATGACCCAGATATTCCATTTTTCTTTCCTTGATGGTGTTCAGTTATTCTTTTTGTTTGTGCTTGCGCTGGAGTACTTCATCGTTGGTGATCCTTTGTACCCATGAAATTCGCAGCATCCGTCTATACACATACATTTCGAAGGCTTCTATTCTCTTTTCGGTCTGTGAATCTAGTGTCCAGCTTTCACATACATAGAGTAGGACAGAGAAGACGTAGCATCTGATCATTCGAGTTCTGATTTCCAAGCTAAGGTCTAGTCTTGTAAAAAATGTTTTCATACTCATGAAGATTTTCCTCGCTTGCTCAATCCTTGAAAGTATTTCCCTTTTCGGGTCGCACTGACTATTGATGTTAGCTCCCAAATATTTTATTGAGGTCACTTGTTCGATTGTTTGTCATTTGACACGCAGGTGTGCATTTATTGGAGTCTTAGAAAAGCCAATAGTTTGGTCTTGG